TCTTATATTTTTTCAACACTTCCGATAAATATAGTCCTAAAATTTATATTTAAATCTTTTGACACTGTACAAACATCTGATCGTGTAACATAATATAACCATTAGTAAATAACTATGAATAAAAGTTTCATTAATTTTTTCTATTTGTTGTCCAAGAGAAGTAATGTTCGATTGTTTCTGTAAAAAAATAGTTTAATTGATAGATCTGTTACGAATGTATGTTAAAAACCACTAATTGTGAATTGTACAATACCTTACAAATAGTGGGGAAAAACAACATACATCAATGCATTTAAATGATTCAATTGTCAAATGTAGAAATGCTTTTAAATAAAACCCATACGCTGCTTAATAAAAGAGCTATTAGTGTCCCAAATGTGTGACGACACGGTCGGAGAGGGGCAAGAATTTTATATGAAAAAAATGTTACGCGTCAATCACACTTTGAAATTAATTCAAAAATAATGTTTGTATCAAAACATTATTTTCATTGTCTGCAAACATATAGTTGATATGAGGTCCCAAGAATCAATACAATTAAAACTAGTGGTGCATGAGGCAAGTTGCTGGAACTTTCCGTACCGAATATTATAATTTAAGAAAGCTTTTTTTTTAAAAAAAAAACTGAGAAAAATAAATTTTAGAGAATTTTCGAACTTTTTTTCAAAGCAATCCCCCTGCGTAGCTGTTTTAGAGACAATATATTGATGCGCGTAAGCGCCGCGACGCAGCCTAACGGATAAACATTGGTACGGAACCCATAGAAATACAAAACATGTTTGTACTTATTATTAAAATCTATAAAATATCTAATAATTTGATGTGCATATGCCTAATGATAATTTTTGACTGCCATATGACTTGAAAAAAATATATTGAATTTCCAAAACCACTGAACTGGACTGGCCTTCCCAAACATTTAATCAGTTCTTCGTTCCGACAATACAAATAAGATATTTTTTGAATTATTCAAATCGAACGCTCCGTTCTCGCAAAAACTGAACACCATTTTGGGCACTTTTTGTCCATAACTTTGCAAAAACCAATCAGCACGTCTTCTCATTAATACGAATCGAATGTTTTTAAATCATTCAAACGATACCCATAATATAAAAAATTGTATCCGCACAATCACATACATCAATTTTTTCTAAGATATGTCAGTATATTCAGAAACCTGCGCATTTACTCTGCGGGAAGTTACTATTGATTCATTTATATAAATAATATAAATACCCATTAGTATTCATTTTTAAATATTTTAAGATAGTTTGTTAAAATTTATAATATATCAGCGAACTAAATGAATTTTTGAATTTTAAATGCTTAATATTCTATAATATAATAATATAATATTTTTTTAAAAAAAGTGGCGTTCTAATGAACGAAGTTAAGCCTTAACATTTTAAATCATCTTTGTTTACATTTTGCAACATAAGTACTAACAATTTTCAACTAGCTATCTTATTATATTTTCAGATTTTGAAGGTGTAGTACTTTTTCGAGCACTGACAAAATATTATGATACGTTAGTTGTTATAAATAATACAATACAAACCAGTATTAATAAAACTACGTGATTTATCGTCCAAAAATCGAAATTGAAAAGTTTTACATTTCTTCACGTTTTGAAGGTTTCTGAACATTTTAGCATACCTCTAAAAAAATGGATGTGTGAGTGTATGTAAGTATGGATACAATTTTTCGTTCACGTTTTTAGGCGCACGAATCACCCGATTTGAATGGTTCAAAAAACGTTCGATTCCTATTGATAGGGAGATGTGCTGATTAGTTTTTGGCAAAGACAAGTCCAGCCGTTTCGGAGATACGGAGCAAAAAATGCAGAAAATAGATGTCGAGTTTTTGAGAGAACGGAGCATCCGATCTGAATGATCTAATAAACATTGAATTCGTAATGAAGGGGAGAAGTGGTGATTAGATTTTGGCAAATGCAGATTCAACCATTTCGAAGATACCGAGCTAAATGTGCAAAAAACGGCAGTTTTTGAGAGAACTAAGCATCCGATTTGAATGATTCAAAAAACTCTCTGCTTGTTTTGATAAAAAAAAAATTGTTTTTGAAAAAAAAATATTTAAATTTTTTTTATCAAAAAAATTTTTTTTGTGTATCGAAAATAATTGAGATTTTAATTTTAATTCTGACTTTAAAGTTCTAAAGCTAACTTATAAGTATATATATATATATATATATATATATATATATATATATATATATATATATATACATAGCTGGGCATTAACTCGTTAATCCGTTAATCGTTAATTAACGAAGTTAACATTTTGATTAACGGATTAACTTTTAAGTTAACTTTTGAAAATGTTAACGGACACGTTAACTTCCGTTAAAATGCCAGAAGTCCGTTAATCGTTAATCCAATGCCCAGGACCGTGCCTGGCCAGCGTGCAGTGCGTGCACCACCAAATGAAAAAAAGAACAAATTCAAAGACGGCCATAACAAAAAATGGTCGAAATAAATAACTGTTGCATTAAAAGTCTACTGAATTAAAAGGCGGCCAAATTAAAAGACTGTTGGATTAAGAGGCGGCCAAGCTCAAAGTCCGCTGAACTCATTCGCTGCCGTAAAGTCCGCTGTATATATCTAAAAGACCAAAAATACCGTAGTAAAAATCAGCCAAAGGCGGCCCTATTGAATGCGACTCTGTTTCTAAATAATTTATAAGTTATAAACTTGGTGTAAGTGGCAACTTTGCCTAAATCAAGTTGCATGAAGTATCCAACATGTGTTAATCGTCGACTTAACAATGAAAATATATTAATTCATGAGTACATTGCAATGTGAAAAACTATCGCAGATTATTCAATTTTGTACAAATTTTCTAAAGATATTAGTTATGTTTTATAAATAGTTTAAAAATTACATATTATTGAACAAGAAACAAACTGTAGTAAATTAAAAACAAGATCCAAATTTCCAAAGCAATTTGTTAATCAATAACTGAAAAACGACTCGTCGATTATTGACAAAATTTAATCAGCAAGATTCTCAAATGGAAAACGTTTGTAATGGTTTTTGAATTTTTAAAATCAATTCACTAATTAAAAATTTGAGACTTTTTTGAAAATTCTAAAGGAAAAACTAAGTAGCACGAGTGCTTATCGAATTTACGAATTTTGACGATTTTTTAAATGGGATTGTGCATTTTTGAGAAAAGGTCCACTAAAGATGAAATTTTGACTCACGTAAAAAAGCGCCGCTCATTTTTGCAATCTTTGATAGTACATATTTTAAAAATTAAAATGACTTTATGTGGGTCGAAATATTTAGTTATCTTAGAGACCATGATCACTATCGTCAAAAAAGTTTTATAAATATCATCGTAAAGCAATATTCACCAATTAAACACGAAGAAACGAACCGACCGATCTCTTAGAAGTAATCAGCACGATTCCTAAATGATATCTTTCAAACAGTTCCTGAATTTTTAAAATCGATGCAGAATTTTTGGCTAAAACGTGTACAATAAATTTTATATTTTTCCGTTGATTAGAAACAGCTTGGCCGGTCGTCGCACAAAACTGACAGGCGCTAGTCATTATCTAGTTACATCAAATGACTTTTATACTTTTGAATTGGATTTAACCGTTTTTGAGAAAACGTTGCCGAAAATTAAAAAATCGGCTTTCAAACGATTCAGAATGGCTTAAAATGTCGAGAAAACTTGAAAATTACAAGACGATTTTTTTCGTGAGAACATATTGGATATTTTCCTATTATGCTATTTTTAAGGGCGGCCATTTATATGCTCGCACGCAGGCGGCCACATACCCAGGCACGGCTCTGCCAATTATTACTATTTACCGGACGGCACAGCTTTAGCCAATGCCTTATTAAATGACATAGAGAAAAGATTTGGACCACTCGTGCATGATGAACAGTGCCAACATGTTCAAAAGACTCGGGGAACAGATATTCATAAATCAATTTATTAAATACAATACTGCTATACCCTCAAGCGCTGCAGTTGAACGTTTGTTTTCCACGGGTAAAGACATTTTGACACCAAAACGAGCCTCGCTTTCAGACGAGAACTTCAACATGTTAATGTTCATGAAGAGAAATATGCACCTAATACCCGACGCTTAACCCGTCGCGCGTTTCCTATTTTTCGCAAAAAAACTCTTTCCCTTTATTTAGAAAAAAATTCTTGTAAAAACAATATGCAATCATAAAAACAGAAAGTTGACCAATAGCGTTATTATCACGGTGTGTGCATAAAGCGCGTCGCGTCATTAAGGGGTTGAATTACGCATTTGAATTATACAAGTATTTTGTTTTATTCATAACCTGTTAACTTCCAGAACCTAAACCAATAAGTTTTTTAAGTTCACTAACGCAACAATATAAAAATGTAATTTTACACATATTAACGGATTAACGATTAACGTTAACTTGCGTTAATTATTCCGAAATGTAACGCTTTAACGTTTAACGAAGCTAACTTTTTTTGTAGCGGATTAACGATTAACGAAGTTAACTTTTTGATTAACGGTGCCCAGCTATGTATATATATATATATATATATATATATATATATATGTATATATATATATATACACTTTAAATAATTTTAACTTTGCAATTTAGTTTATATAATTCCTATAAGCATTAGAGAATGTATTTATAATAATCTATCTATATGAAAACATTTAATATTTTCTGAACATATCGTTATGGTACGGGAAGTTCCTGCAATTTGCCTTAAGGCACGAAGCCATACACAACTAGTTTTCGATATATTTCACGATCACGACAAAAAGTGAAAAATTCGCACAATTACAATTACAATTACAATATTGTCTGTCACACAACGAAGTAGAAAAAATACAATGAAACTACCGAATAAACATAAATAGTTTAAAATGACCGGGGCCTATTTTGTATGTATGGATGCAAAACCTAATAGGGAAATAACAGTACAATAATATCTAGAACGGATAATACAAAATTTGAACGTACCCTAATCAACAGCACTCTCCTCAGCTATACTTCTCAATGGTACTAGTTCAGAATTTGACTGCTTTATTTTTATTTACGTTTACACAAAATGGGCAAAAGTACTGTTACACTTAACGTAGATAATATAAATAAAACACTAAACTGAAAACTGAAAAATTAATGTCCAATGAATTAACATTTATGCTGCTGACATCTGTGATCATTTTTTTGACCCACATATTCTAAAAAGCAAATTTTCAAGATCGAGCGAAATATCGTACTTTGTTATAATATTTTGAATAGCCCACTTATGTTTTCTTTTGTAAACGATTACTTGTAAAACGTAAATATTACTGTAATTCTAAAGAATGTAAATTTAGTATATTTTGAAAATATTTTCACAAGTGTTCGCTGAAAATATGTTAGATCTAAATATTTAGTATTAATTGAAAATGCATATATATTTCAGTTAGCAATATTGTTATGACTGCATAAATGATACAAATATAATTGTCATATAATAGTATAAATATCACTTTCACTTAAAGACATTATTAGTTTAATATAAAATGCATATATTATACTGCATAAACAATTACAAACATTCTTACATTTTTTTTTTTCAAAACAAACTTGTTTCAGAAAACCTAATTTCTTTATATTATATTTTTCCTATCTAAACTGGTTTATAATCTAATTTGCTTTCAAGTTTTTTATTATCTGCAACCTTACGAACAGCTTTCATCAAATCTTCTTGTACAACATACTCTCTTTCAGCTCTGATAGCAAACAGTCCAGCTTCTGTGCATACATTTCTTAAATCAGCCCCATTGAAAGTGTCTGATAATTTCACTACTGCTTCATAATCAATTTCACCATGTTTCGCTATAGGTGCAGCATGAATTTTAAGAATTTCTAAGCGTGCTTGTTCATTTGGCAGTGGTATTTCAATTTTTCTATCAAGTCTTCCGGGTCTCAATAAAGCGGGATCTAATGTATCCGGCCTATTAGTTGCCATAATCATTTTAACCTGACCCAACGAGTCAAAACCGTCCATTTGGTTTAGAAGTTCCATTAAGGTTCTCTGAATTTCACGATCAGCTGATGTGCCTTCAGAAAATCTCCTACCACCAATAGCATCAATTTCATCCATAAAAATTATACAAGGTTGGTGATCTTTAGCATAGTTGAACATTTCTCTTATTAGTCTGGCAGATTCTCCTATATATTTATCGACAATAGCACTCGATACAACTTTAAGGAAATTTGCATCAAGTTGAGAAGCAACGGCTCGAGCCAGTAATGTTTTACCAGTTCCTGGCGGGCCATATAGTAAGCAACCTTTAGGAGGAGTAATACCCACACGTAAGAATAATTCCGGGTTCATTAAAGGAAGTTCAATGACTTCACGGAGTTCACGAATCTGTTCAGCTAAGCCTCCAATAGCGGAATATGTAACATCCCCCGGATCTTCATGGGACATATTATAAACTAAAGGATCTACTTCCCTAGGCAGATATCGCATAATAGTTAAGGTTGTCATGTCTAAAGCTACTCTTGTCCCAGATTTTAACTTAGCTTTATCCAACTGCCTTCTACAGCCGACTACGTACCTTGGTCCATTGGTGGCTTTAACAATAAACTTTTCTTCTGTAAGTTGCTTTAGGACTTCGCCAACTATTTGTCCGACACTTTGTAAAGCTTTAAGATCGTTTTCTGATTTGTCATATTGTTTAGTCAATTCTTTCAACTCATCTCTCATTTCTTTCAACCGAGACTCGACTTCTTTGTGTTCTAACAATTTCTTCCGATAATCTATTAAACATTTTTCTCGAACGGGGTCTGCCACTTCTGCCATTTTGTATATAATACGAACACTTTTTACAATAACAAATATTCAGTACTTTTAACACCAAAGTGAGAATGCACAATTACACGATGAGTCTTGCTAGCGTATGACATGACATTTCAATTTCGTGTTGACTTCCAAAAAGCACGGCTGCCAACATCGATAAAACATTCTTTCAAACGCACGTGCCAAATTCAAAATCATTTTAATTCGGCATTGAAATAAATAAATAAAACAGTATTTAACATGTTATATAAACGTTATTCTGTATTTTATTGACATAAAATATATACTACAACACTGGACATGTTTATAGATTTTTTTCTGTATTTTTACTAAAGATAATTAACTTAATATCACAAGATTCAATACTATTAAGTAAATACTAACAATATTTGATTAAAATTACATTTCTTACTGCTGCTTTTACCACAGCATTTCCCAATATATTGCTTCTAAATTGAAAAAGAAAAATCAGAGTTTAGCAACATCTCTTATTCTCTGAATTTAATCTGATTATTTTTATAAAAACCTTAACAACTCGATAAAATTTTAATATTTGTTTATATACTTCAAGTATTGATAATGATATCTTTATTCTAAATTTTTGATCATAGAAAAAATAAATATTATTAACCATGTAATAAATTTTATGGCACAAAGCAGTAAAATACCCACAATTCATACTTGCACAGACAAACTTTGCAGAAATATATATATATATATATATATATATATATATATATACATATGTATTAGTAGGCATAAATTCATTTAGAGACTTTTCTAACTCGCTATTCAACAATCAAGGTTTTCACACGGAACGTCTTCATGAAAAACTAATTTCATCCCAACTTTCATCATACTCATCATTATAATACTCTGTATTTTCACCCGAATCAGCTTGCAGTTTTGCATAGTCATTATGAGAAAGACTAGTTGGTGCAGTATTTGTGTCAGAGAGGAGGACTGGGTCTTGAGGTGTGATAAACCCACTCATTGTGCCAGCATTGTAATACTGATCAGGATTGGCTTCACGTGGATCTAATTTGTAAATAATGAGGATTGAATCATCAAATTTATTTTGTTTTATATAAGCAAGATAGAATTGAGATACACTATAATGAATAGAATTCTAAATATACAAAAAAGAAGTGTATAGAAGGGGTTTAATTGTACTTTCTTTTATATCGTCACTGTTCTTATTCATATATCTTATTGTTAGATAATCATTTGATAAACCTATATTAAAGTTAGTAGTCTAATTTAAAACACAAGCATGATTTAAGGCATAGATTACCATAGCAGCCAAAAGTTTAATTACCTACAAACTATATTATTTGTATATATTTTTTGTACTCACCACATTGAACTACTTGTGTAAAATCATATTTTGATATATCAACTGGTTGCAGCAACCATTCAGAGGCAAGCAATTCTTTTAATGTGCATCTCTTCAAAGGGTCTTTGCACAACAAGGAAGTCAGTAATTGTTCTAGTCCTGAAAGCAATCCAATTTATATTGCAAATATGTACCCAGTTCAAACAGTTAATAAAACTTGTAGACAGAATATTATATTGCCAAAAACTTTAAAAATCTGTTTATAATAATACAACTCAAAAATTGTGTTTATTATTTGTTTTTCAAAATATTATATATGAATAAAGAAAATCACCTTCACTGACTTTATGTGGTAATTTTAGTATGCCATTCAAAGTTTCTTCTGCATCTTCAAAAGGATTGATGCTATACGTTAAGACATACAATGTAACACCCATCGACCACATTTCTAATTCAGGTCCTGAATATTTATTTCCTGCTAACACTTCCGGGCTACAGTATTCAGTTGTTCCATAAAAGGTACAAAATTCAGATTTTTCATTAAAAAATGTAGCTGATCCAAAATCAATTAGCTTCACTTCAAACTTGTGATTAATAATAATATTTTCATCCTTGATATCCCTGTGCAGTATATGCAAAGAATGCAAGTACTCCACTGCTGAAACAATTTGCCGATAAATATAACTAATCAACGGTTCGTCTAACTTTGGTACTCTATCAATAAATTCAAAAAGGTCCATTCCAGAGCCATGTTTCTCCATAATTAATTGAAAATATAATTCATTCTCAAAAATATCATAAACAGAAACAATGTTAGGATGAGATAAAGTAGGGAGTAAGCTAATTTCTAGAGGTACTTCTTTTCCCATTGTTTTATCCCATATCCAAAAATCATCATTTACTCGATCCTTCAAAATAAATTTCGAAACTACTAAAAGCTTATCTGAATTTCTATATGCCATTCTAACCCAACCAAAGGCTCCTTTACCAATTTGGCAAAGAGTTGTGTAATTTTTATTGTATTCGCCTCTCGTCTGTTCTTCCTCGCATTGGGAAGCAAAGGATACTGAATTTGTACAACTCTTATTTTTAGCAGCTTTTAGCTTAATGGCCTAAAGTATTAATTACATTGAACAAACAGTTTCAAATAAAAATATTTCATAGAATTATTTATACCTGGCCCAAGGAATGTTCTATTGTACTATTGTTGCTTGATGTTATTGTACAGGTATCTTGTGCGATACAATTAGCATGGTCAAAGGAAATCCAAACGCAATACACATTTCGATTCTGGTGAACAGATTGTTTTAAAACAGCATAGCAAACATCTGGAAATTTTTGAATTACCAAATTATAATATTGAAATCATATTTTAATAATATTTACAACTTACCAATTGATTTTCCATTTGAATGTCTTCCAGTACCTTTATATCTACCTTCCTTAAAAACTTCAGATTCATTTTTATCTCTATATGATGGAGTTGAGGTAGAAATCTGAGCTTCTTGTAAAATGTTTTTATAACGCCTATTAGCTGGAGTTAAGAAATCTATATCATGCATCTTAGAAACTGCAACAAGTTTTATAGTTTAAAAACATACACACACAATAAAATTCACAATTAGATAATATATTAAATCTAATAAAAAATTACTATACTTCTCACTTTGAGAAATTAATTTTCGAACAAGATTAAGTAATTGTTTAAATTAGTAAATATAATAGATTTTTAAGAATCACATACTTTCATAATTAGACTCATTCAGTGATATTAAACCTCCACTGGAATCAAATTTCTTAGGTACTTGTTCCTCAGATTCATTGATAGGCGTAGCTAACTCATCATCTTCTTCATAACTTATGATATCCAAATGTAAATAGGATTTGTTAGAGGAGTCTAAGGCTTTCTTTTGAGGTGTTACTGAGATGTTCGAGATGTTAAGGTTGTTTTCTAAATCACTACTGAGCCTAGATATGGATTCATTAATAGGCGTTAGTAAATCTTCTGAACATTTGGTCATTTTTAATGGTAGTTGCATATTTTTTTTGTCATCGTCTTTTAATTTATTGATGATATCTTCCTTTTTATCACCTTTATTTTTGTTATCTTCATGACTAATGGATTTTAAAGTATAACACTCGGTCAAACCAGTATCTAAGGTTTCTGGAATTAAGTTTTCATCACTTTCAGCTTTATCATCTTTTTTGAATGAATAGAAATGGAAAGAATCAAGTTCCGCTTCAGAGTTACCCATAGGTGACCTGCTATAATTTCTATTGTGACTTAATTCAGTACAATCGAAGTCTTCACAAAAATTAGGCAATAGCAATGTGATTTTTTGTCCCACAATTTTGTTTTGTGAGTATCCAAAAAAAAACATGACAAAGTGATGGCAAACACATTCAATTATCCCTTCTTCATTTATGATAAGTAAACCACTTAAATTTATGTAGACTGTAATGTCAATTTTAAGATATTTTCTTTCAGCTTCTTCATTTGTTTTATGATACTTTTTCTCATAATATTTTACAGATAAACTTAATGGAAGTATAGAGCCATCTAACGTAGTGCCTGTAACCTTCTGCTTATTAAAGTAACTTATGTTGGAAACTAAATCTTGCGGTTCAGAAAGCAAAATAGATGGTATAATACGTTTGATATCCAAACCCAATAATTGACCAACCTCACATTGAAATATCAAGCATGCGTCCACATCAGCAGCTAAGATAATACCTGATTTGTTTACTATTATCTCTCCAACAACTTTTTGGACAGGTTCAACAAAAGCAAAACTAGGACCATCTTGATTGTATTGTCTAATCCACAAAGAAGTTGAAATACTAGTTCCGGTGGATTTTATAAAATCAACTACTTTGCCAGAAAGTAGAACCATAGAACCTGTTTCTTTATTAAAATATCCTTCAGCTAATGCAGACACAGGATTAGAAGGAACTTTCTTCATAAGATGAAACAGTGTCTTGAAGTCAAAGTCTTTGGGCTTGTAATTCAACAAAGAACAAGCATTGTTGTTCACATTGTAAATTTTGGTCAATTCTGGATCAATTATGAAAACAGACTTATATGGATTTACATTCTTGCAGGAAGCCTGTATTAGTTCATGAGTCAGCAGTACTGAGGAGTCATTGATGTTGCTCGGAGAATGTGCATCAGATGTAAGCGTGTCATAGTTCAATTTGACACCTTCTGCTGTTGATGGCAATACTAATAAACAATCATACATACATTTATACAAAATATTATAATTATTACCTGAAATACTATCCACCATTTCTGAAGATAATACTATTTTGAAAGAACAATCTTCGTTTATAGAACGTCCTCTTCGTGGGAATGTTTGATTACAATCAACAGAGAAAGGTATTAAGGAAATGTTACCATTCTTGGAATATTTTCTTTTCCTAATAAAACATTTGCAAATTAATGTACTTATTTCTTATATCACATAAAATAATATGTATAGGTTAACCTTTTTATTATTAAAAGGTGTGAATGATATATAAATATTGCAAACCATTATAATAGTATATATATATACAAACTGTTATCGTAATACAATTCAAAGCAATCAAATAATTTTCTGTAAAGAAATATTAATGTTATACCTAAGTCTTTTCCACGGTGTTTGATGTTTAGATATAAAGTGATTAGAATGGTATAATCCCTTGCAGACATTCTTAAAACAATTCTGAAATTAATGAAATCATTTAATTTTGATTTTGAACTGTTCAAAAAAAAAGAATCAAGTTATTGAATTAAACTTACTGAAGAATATGTTCTCTTAAGGTATTTGGGAGCAATTGAAAAGATGCCACACCCAGGCTTCTTAGGATGTTTTCTAAGATTTATTAATTTATCTAATCTGCAATTAAAACAGTAATTGCTTTATTAGTGAATCGTACGTCGTGTTTTGTTGTCTTTCTCAGCCACATTTGTAAACTGTGTCAGTGCACAGGATAAAATCAATAAGTGAGCGCGACAGCGCCAATTTGTGTATATAACCTACTAACAGAATTGAAAGGAAAAAAGAAAACAAACTTACCCACACTCTACACGGTCCATATCAGCAATTAATTAGTTTTATATATTTGAACGAATTAAAATAGACAAAGTTCCGCAATTGATAACTGAAAAAATTTCAACCAACAAAATATATAATTATAATCATGTCATTTAGCATTATTAATAAAATATTTTATTTTATCATGGATAATGCGATATTTTTATCAACAAATGTCATATAATGAATACTTACATTTTGCAGAAGATTTAAAAGTCACCCTATAATAAAGAATAAATACACATTTATAACACGTATCGTAGTTTGAAGAACATTTTGAACACAACGATAACATAAAACCAGTCGCTATCAATTATTACTACCAACATATGTAGCTAAAATAATAACAATGTTTCGGTGGTTTGGGTCCCTAGACAATATAATAATAATAATAATGTTTGGGTCGATGGTCGATGGTCGATGTTTGGTTGAGAATATTAGAATCCTAGACAATATAATAATGATAATAATGATTGATATGATTAGAATCTTATTAGAATATTAGCATCAATTTAATAATCAATATTATACTCTTTTTGTTATTTTTTTAATAATATAATAATCAATATTATACTCTTCATAGATAAATAAGAATAACTCTTATTTTATCTATGATTATAATACAGAATACCTGCTGGACATTAAGATGCCTAAACAATAATAATGTAATGTAACTAATAATATGATAATATGCACATGAAAAGATTTATGTTTTTAGATTGTTAATATGGTTGATTATTAACATATCAATATTAAAACTTTTATAAATATATTCATAGATGAAAGAAGAGTATATGAATATATTGATCGCAACCATTGTACAATTTGTTATTTAATTTGCCTATTATGAAAAGTAATTAATGGAATTGAACAGAATCAAGTTAGACAATATAATAATAGGGAGTTTGAGAGAAGCCTGCCTTGAAATTTGGGCGAAATCAGTTGGTAGTGCAGAGGGCTATTTGCGCAATCACAGATTGGCACAAGCAATCATATCGTGTATGGAGCGTATGGAGTCCCGAACACTTGTGAAAGTGACAGATGACTTCAGACTGGAAGAATTTTTGCAAATTTTTGACATTTAAAAATATGACAGCTTGAAGCACACGAACTTATTATATTGTCTAGGCACAGTGCACACGAATGCATGTGAAATATGAATAGGTGCTCCGTACCTCCGTACTATTAATGCACTAACAAAATATGATATATTTTTATTCAAGAATATATTTTCTATTTAGGTAAATATGTGTAGCTTTAATAATTATTTTTAACTCAAAGTAGTACTTTTATTGTCAAGCATCTTGCAGTATCTTCCATATCACACTAGGGGGGATCTCTTTTGTGACTATGGATTCTGGCAAGGTATTTTGTTTTTGATCAATCTCTATTACTCAATACTTACTGTAACAACATTCACAGTGTCGCATTTTGAAGGAAAATATAATAGATCCAAATAAGAAAAGCAAAGACATTGCTGATAAAATTTGTGCTGATGCAAATGGAAAATTAACTAGATCAAAATCACGAAGGTTACGAAGAAAACGAGCTATAGAAAAGTTATCAAAAAAAAGTGATAATTCGTCCCAACTTCTAAATAACAGCCCATTGAAACAAGAATCAAATGTGGGTAATTCATTATGGAAATGTTAAAGTTTTAATTAATTTATATATTTTAATTCCAGTCACATAAAAGGGAAATCTCACATTCTGAAAATAATTTGAATTTGCCAATTATTAGTGCTATAAATAATATGTCTGATAAAGTGTGCAATTCAGTTAAAATTGAAAAAGCAAGAGAAGTTATGTGTGAACGTGAAGTTCAAAAGTTAGCTAAATCACAATTAAATAACAAAGTTAATAAAACAGAATGTATTTCAACAAATGTAGATAAAATTAGCAATAAAATTCAAAATATGTCTAGTAATGATTCTGATACTTCAGCGAAAAAGGTAGAAGAAGTAAGTAGTAAACTAAACAACATGTCCATTAATGCGAGGGCAGAACCTTCAAATGGAAAATCAAGAGAAGAAATTAAAGCAGAACGTGAGGCAAAGAAATTAGCCAAACAACAAGCAAAGAACAAAAAAGTGAATGCAGGCGATAACTCCGCAAAATCAACTGATATATCAAAACATGTGCCTAATTCTGCAGAAGCAACTAAAGATACTGATAAGGCAAAAAAAACAATTTTGAGTAAAGATGAAGTTGATAGAGCAGTTCTTATGAACAAAAGCGCTGATATAGAAAAGGTATAAGAAAATTTAATACAATATTCTTTAAAAAAATGTTCTAATTGAATAATGAACATAATTCAATTTTTTCAATTGTATAAATATTTGTGATTTACTATGAATTTTTAATTTTAATCTAAGTAATATATATATATATATATATATATATATATATTCTAAAGACATATAATTGTTTTTAGAAATTCATATTATCAATTTATATAGTTTGCCAGATTGAGCTTTTTGTTTTAGTTGATAATTTATTTAAAATTTATACTATTTAAAAATTTCTTAGGAAAAACCAGAAAAATCAAAAGCCGAACTGAGAGCAGAACGCAGAGCTAAACAAGAAGCACAAAGAGCAGCTAAGTTGGCTAATGTAGAAAAGCCACCTAGTGAACCCCCAACTAACACACAAAAAATTACTTCAAAAGTCACTCCTGATACTGAAAAAGCACCTAAGGTAACAATTTACATTTGATTCAGTTGATAGAATTTTTATGTTTAAATTGTATATATAGCTGAATATGAAGAAAAAATTATCCAGCCCATTACAAATTCAACATAAGGTCAAATTATTTAGTCATTTATACTCGGAAAAGAATAATGTCAAGAACTTTTCAACAATGCATCCTGCTTTAGTAAGATTGGGAGAGCAATTTCGAGAAGGCATTGTAACAGGATCTAATGCTAGATGCATAGCATTTATTAATGCACTTAAAATTGTAAGTATACTTCAGTAGGTATAAGTATGAGACTTATATACATTTTACTAAACCTTACTGAATGTGTTGCAACCCCTTTTAATTAATATAATTATATGAAGTAATAAATAAAATGTCTTTTTTTGATAAACATTAGTTATTACTTTATCAAACTATTTCATAATGTAGGTTATCAGAGATTATGTAACTCCACCTCAAAAGGAATTCAAGAGAGAGTTGGAATCATCTTTAAAACCATGCATGGATTATTTACATCAATGTCGTCCAGTATCTGTATCGATGACTAATGCTTTGCGCTTTATAAAGCGTCAGATATCTCAACTTCCTACGAATATTACTGATTTTGAAGCAAAAAATAAATTAGAAACTGCTATAGATGTTTATTACAAAGAACAAATTTGTACGGCGGCTGATGCCATTAGTGGGTTTGTCCAGAATAAGATTGTCGATGGTGATGTTATTTTAACATTTAGCTGGTAATTGTTTTTTTTTTTTTATCTAGTAATTGTTTTAATAGAATTTTTAATATTTTAACTTATTGTGTACTTGCAATATATATATTGAATTTGCTACTTCAGCAATTATTGATTTTTTTGAATATTTACACTTATTTGCTTTATTTTTTCTTAGCTCATCTCTAATTCAACAAATATTTGAAGATACTTCAAAGAACGGAATTGATTTTCATGTTGTGGTTGTGGATGGTCGCCCATCTTTAGAAGGTAGAGAAATGCTACGCAGACTCATTGAACGTGGTATCAAGTGTTCCTATGTACTTATTAATGCAGTTAGCTTTATAATGGGAGAGGTAAATTTGAAAAAATAAAAATAGATTAAAATCAAATAGATGAATTTAAATTTTCTGTTTCATTCTTCAGGTGACAAAAGTTCTTTTAGGCGCTCATGCTCTGTTGGCAAATGGATATGTTATGTCAAGAGTTGGAACTGCACAAATTGCAATGGTTGCACAATCGTTCAATGTACCAGTTCTAGTCTGTTGCGAAACTCATAAATTTATTGAACGTGTGCAAACAGATTCATTTGTGTACAATGAAATAGGTAAGCCACATAACAAACAAAATGTTGAAATTGTCTTCTATTTATTTATGTACTGTTTGATAATTATTTTTTACAGGAAACCCCGAGAGTTTAATTTCATCTACTGATGCAGGCCCACTTTGTGGGTGGTTGGATATGCCAACATTGAGTCCTCTCAACCTACGTTATGATGTCACTCCACCCGAATTAGTGACGGCAGTTGTGACAGAATTAGCTATACTACCATGTACTAGTGTTCCGGTTATTCTTAGGATAAAGCCAACTGAAATTGGATATTGAAGCTTATATAGACCTTTGTAAAAATTACTGATTATTAAACTATTATATTTCTAACATGTATCATTAATTTTTGACAAGACTATTCTTATATTTTATTGAGTTGTTTTCATCCATTCGGTAGTATAATTCTATTCGTAGTAAGAAACTACAATTTTGATACCTGGTACATCTCCTCAATATGCAGTTTATTAGTTTCAGTAATATGTTTTGATCTTTGATCTTGAGTAGTAATTCACCAAGTTGCCATGAGTAAAGAAATGCTTTTAGCCCATGGTTGTTTGAACAAAGTCTGTATCTCTATCTAATAAGTGTTACCAAATATAAATTGCAAAATAGTTTTCAATAACATTCTAGATTTATTTGTTTGCTTATACCTCTACCGGCCCATTTAACTTTTAGCTCACATTCTAAATTTTTCTATATTTTATCAAACAATTGTGGCTTTTTTGTGAGATGATGCCTATATCTTAATTCTATAACATTATCAAAACAACCAATATTAGTATTTAGACCATTTGCTGGGATCTTCAACCTGAAACAAAGTAATGCTGCAGAAACTGTCCAAAGTGTAAATAAGGGAATCAATACGATTGAAGTAATATTAGATGTGTTTTTGATAATCATTACGAAACAAAAATATGGACATAATAGCTTCGGGATCGAATATCAATAACAACCTATTTGTATGCATTTTAATTATCATTTTGTTTCTGTTTTTTTTATAACACAGATTTGTAATTTTGATGTAAGTGGCCCATTGTGGTAGATTTCAGCATATAAAAAATAAAGCTTCTGCTTTCTTTTGTTAAGCAAAATATGAATGCAAAATCATATAAAAAAATACAGAGAAATTACATTTAGGCAATGTCCGATTATTTCTGACAATTATTAGTAGATTTTGAGTCCGATGAGGATGTAGAAGTGTATATTTCCGACAAAAAATAAATATTATAGATAGAAAGAAAAAGAAACAAGGGCGTCCAACTTCAAATGAGGTATATAAACAATTGCAAAATAAAAATAGCATATTACGGCTTTGCGTAAAGACGCCAATTATTTTTCGGATCAGCAAAAACTTTTCAAAAAGTCCGGACGCCCTAAATGCAATGTTCATTTATGTTTCACGCCAAATGCAAATTTTTTTCAGAATTCGACGCAAAAATGTCCATACACCGAGTGCGTACATTATAGATTAAATATTTATGCAACATAAAAAGTATTTTCAAGCAAAATTAATGATTCAAACGCAGGTATTCTTTTTATTGCACTCTATTATATCGAGTTGGATATTTCAATGTAAATAAATATTTACATATTACATTCTAGACCCCAAATGTTTTGAATCAATACACATGTATTCTAAAATAATTTTATTTATTTTACAAATTACAAATACAAATTCATTTGTGTTTTAATAACACTGCTGAAATGTTTCAATCTTTATGTTCAGTTTTGTGTGCATTTTCAGTTTTATAAATTGAAAAATCTAATCTAACATAAATAATAACACTTAAAAACAACACATACAAAAATATTATTATCAGTACAGGTTCCTGCAGCATCATGAATCTAGGGAATGTGTAATGCAGATTGAAATCTTGAATATGATTTTCAACAAGATTATGCTTTGTAAATGATATAACAGGTCTACCTTTTGTGTCGAGATAAGTGTAATGTAAAGAATCAGGTAGGCGAGTAACTGAATATGGAGGAATCAATTTAATATCTTTGCACCCTTCTGGCAATATAATTTTAGTGACAACTTCTTCAACAATCATATGGTCAAAGATATGATCAATAGCCCGCATTTTCAATAAATATTTATCACCTTGGCTAAACAAATATTCATAGCTTGGTACATTGTAGCCTAAAGTATAATGAGTTTTCCAACCTCCAAACAATGGATACCGAGGTCTCAAAGTTAATTCAACAGCATCTTTCTTTACTCGCATATTGGATGTAGAAATATTTCCATTAGTATCACGGTAGTACACACCAAATGCAGAAGCTGGAAGCATAGTTTTATATGATTTTACACTTGCCAAACCGCTTCGTGAATCTTTTTGGAATTCATATCTGGAAAACGACCCTTTCAGTAATGCACCAGAATGCACCATGTCAATTGTTTCTTCAACCGCAATATTTCCCCAATGTGATACTTCAATTGTTCTTTCCAATTTTGTAACTGTTAAAAACGGTGTATGATTCTCATAATGAATCGTCATTTTGTCATGAGTAAATGCTGGTATGTTTTCATATGAGCCATAAGTTATTGTGGTATCACTTTGTGAAAATGGTTTCAGTTTAGAGAAGCTTTCGATGTTCTTAGAAGCAAGTTGTACAGTTGTTTGTTGTTTAATAGTACGATAGGCAGAGTAAAAGTAATGATTTCCATGATAGAGTACAAGTTGACGCTCTAGTTGAATTATGCTTGATGGATAAGGTACTAAAACTTTACTGAATACCGCGTCGATCTGAATATTGACAGTTTTCGCAGGTTGTAAAGGTTCCTTAAAATCTATTCTCAAAAAGGAGACTCCTTCATGGGAACTCACAACTGTATCAGTTATTTTCAATTCTTTCTTAGAAGAATCTCGCGCAGCGATATGGGCGTATCGATTTTCCTCATTGTGTATAGGAATCAAATACGAAGAGATTGGATTTTTACCATTATTTTCTACTGTTATCTTCGTTGAAATCTTTGCCAATTGTGATGCCAGATCAATAAATCGTTCTACATTTTTATTTACAATATCACTATTTATAACATCTGCGGCGGAAACGAACGCTATTTGTACCGCTACGCATACAAATATTTTGAGAAAATGCATGTTTTGTCGAAATAAATATATTTATAACTAATTTTGTCTCATATTAAACATAACTTGATTCAGAAATTGACACGCCGGCTACGTGTAGCCAACAGAAGGAAGTGAAATACACCACGTTGGAAACAGACGAAGTAAAAAAATAGACATGCTCACCTTTTTGGCGTATTTCATAAATAGCTGGATAACTGGATAACTGGATAAGTAGATAGCTGTACTTCTACTGAAAGAACACGTAAAATATAATTTTGTCAACACTAATATCTAATATATTATGAGAAACATTTTTCCCGTTGAATACTGAACTGCCATTTGATAGAAAGCCATCTTTTATATATTTACGGGACTAACTGATAGCACTAAATAGTTTTAAATATTTTAGTTAAAATATAGTAATAATTTCTGCTTTATTATTAAAATTATCACATTCGTACCTCAACAAACAGCAAAAAGCTAAATAAAACCCAAACCAGAAAAAAAACATTCATAACATGCTAGGGAATTTCGATTTGAATATTGTCCCCGATCGCGGGCAATTCTGCTCAGATTTGACATTTAATATAACCTGGAAATTTTCTGTTTGTTTACAAGTCACCGACTCACATATATTAATGTAGTCGAATAAGATATCGACCAAACTCCGCATGTTTTAAATAAAAAATTCCAAGTGAAATAAAAAAAATGTTCAAAAACACGTTTCAATCTGGCTTTTTATCGATTTTATACAGCATTGGCAGTAAACCATTACAAATCTGGGATAAAAAAGTTCGAAATGGTCATATTAAGAGAATTACAGACAACGACATTCAATCCTTAGTACTAGAAATTGTTGGGACTAATGTTAGTACAACATTTATAACATGTCCCGCAGATCCAAAAAAAACATTGGGAATAAAACTTCCATACCTAGTGATGATAATAAAAAACTTAAAAAAATACTTCACTTTCGAAGTCCAGGTACGTTTACCACAATTTAGTCATTAAAACAACTTTGATATATAAAACAATACATCTATGCCGTTTGCAAATATTACATTAACTGTAATAATTCCTTTATTGTACTTAACTCATTTTGTACTTATCAAGTCTTATATTCGTGTTCTCTAATGGCACAGATACCATAAAATATATTGCAGGACATTTAAATTTTAAGATTCAATTTTGCAAGTAACATATGGTAGAAAATATTTTTGACCACTTAGAACATATCTAAGTTTGAAAGTAGTATTTCTTTTAAATTTGTTGTGAGCAGTTATATAGTAAGAGAACATTTGTATGCATTTTCTGTTCAGATAATCAAATTAAAATACTCACAGACGCTTTCAGAATTTCGTTTGTTTCATAAGTGTATTCATCTATCTTTCAGGTACTTGATGATAAGAATGTCCGCAGAAGATTTCGTGCAAGTAATTATCAATCTACAACTCGAGTAAAACCTTTTATTTGTACCATGCCTATGAGACTAGATGATGGTTGGAACCAAATACAGTTTAATTTGGCTGATTTCACAAGAAGAGCATATGGTACCAACTATGTTGAAACATTACGAGTGCAAATACATGCAAATTGCAGGATAAGAAGGGTATATTTTTCGGATCGTTTGTATTCAGAGGATGAACTGCCAGCAGAATTTAAACTATTTTTACCTATTCAAAATAAAAGTAAACAAGCTATGGCCACATGAATATCACATAGATATAAAATAAACAATATGATATAATCATGTATTTTATAACCCATTTGAGCATTTATATTGGTATGTCACAAGAATTAAAAGGAATCAGATTTATTAATTCACATTTGATTTAAAGAAAAATATTGTAAATTTTTAAATAGAACAAAAATAAACTGAATTTTCAAAAGTAAAGATTATTTTATTCATATATATACTATTTAATACAATTATAATAAAATGTTACTCAATATGAATGAGTTACATAGCTAACATATAAAATGACATAAAAAGATTCTAGGAATAAGATTATTGCTTTAATAAATGTGAATAATTAAGATAATAATTGAATCAATTTGTCTATTGAATTCGAATTTGCAGGTAATTTCTATATTCATGATAGACCTTATTATTATATACAACCAACATGCATTTAATAAATCATAACATTCCTAAAATTTATCACAAAGTATATATGGAATATAACGTTTTTATTAAAAAAATCATCTGTACAACAGGAATTTTAAATTAACATAAATATATTATAATGTTAAATTGAATAATTAAATAACTTCTTGATACTATAATTTCTAAAATGAAATGCTGGCGAATCTCATACTTTAGAATGTAATAATATGATGTCAGGTAATCTATAGTCAACATATTAACAGTATTATTTTATGAGCTCAACAATTTTATCTACTGGGTGTTTAATCCTTAATTATAAACATATATTACTTATTACTTTACATCACCTTATCTACTGGGTTCTCGATTGGAACAGGGCTTTTAGATGCGATGTGTGGTTCCGGTGGCATTCCTACTTTTGGTTCAATTGGAGTACTAGATCTAGGTGAAGCTACCTCAATATATTCATCAGAGCATTCTGCTTTGACTTGAACCTGCTGATCATCAGATTTAGCGTCTGCTTCAGCGTGTGTGTAACTGTGATTGTCAAGTTCAGCTCTGAAGTAAAATCTCATATCACACCTCGAGCACTCGTATAGTCGTGCTTGTGGCCCGTGTTCGGATAGGTGCTGCAACAAACCGGGCGCATTTGTAAAAACAGCCGAGCATATATAACAAGAAAAACCTCGACTGTCACAGCCAGCAAACGTATGTTCTATTAAATGCGCTTGGAGTTGTTGTGGACCGGCGGGCCTGTACGCGCACAATCGACATTGAAGGCTCGAATCACGGCTTTCGTGCAAAGCAACGTGTGCCTGCACTTGTTGTTCGGTGTCAAAATCCGATCTACATTGAGCACAGCTCCACGTTTCTGTTATTGTACGTGTCCTTCCCGAATCACAACAATTTCTGCAAACACTTCCACTAACTTCGCTTACCTCACATGGCTGTCTGCATAGCGAGCAATGCGTCCTTGTACTAACCACAGCAGTTTTTAAATGAAAACGAGCATGCAACCCAACCTCTAAATCGGTCGACAAGGTCTGACGGCAAACCGGACAAGGCGCTGGAAGTTCACGACCACTGTGCTGGGAGAGATGTGCTCGAAAAACTTGCTCGTCGGCAAATAATGCTCCGCATTGCGCACAACGACCCCCGGGACCGACTTTGCAATGGGATAGTTTGTGTTCGGCGAGAACTGCGGCAGCAGGAAATACCTCATCGCAAATGACACATTTGTGTTTACTAGAAGCAGAAGTGCGGTGGGCGGTTTTAATATGAGTTTCTAACTCAGCTCGAGATCTGAATGGTTCATTGCAGTAAGCGCAATGAGGACTAACGCGAGATGCCCCCTTCAGATGATGGACGAGCTTTCTGTGTGCAGCAAGTTCGGATTCACTCATGAAATCATCACGGTCGCAAATATCGCAATTTTTGCGAGCATTGTTGTTATCATTGGTTCGCGTAGGGGATATGCGCTCTAAAGGTTCTTGAATGTCAGGAACAGCAGCCGGCATTGGTTGTTGAGAATGCCTTGTTTGTAGATGACGATCAAGCAGAAACTCGACGTGAAATGCTTCAGGACACAATGGGCATCTAAATTGCCGAGCGTGAGCCGCTAAATGAAAATGCATCTCTAGTTCGGTGGCGCATGCTGCTCTGCAGAATGCACATCGCAGAGGGGCGCGTGTAGATGGTATTACCGACAAAGGTGAAATAGTAGGAGCATGTGGCGGAGTTAAAGGATGTCGCAAACGCACATGCTGCCTAAACTCGCGTTCAGAACGCGTCTCCGCCCCACAGGCTGTACAACGAAACAGGCGCGTTTCTTGCGAATGCTTAACCGCAAAGTGTAGTCGAATAGAAGCCTCGCTTTCAAACAACTCTCTACAAAGTGAACAACGCAACACACGGGTCGTATGTTGCTCAAGGAGATGACGATGCAAACTTTCTGGTTCCTGAAATATTTTTCTGCAATTTTGACAGCCAAATTCCGATGTAGTTGATAAAAAATGAGCAGCTACATGACGCTCTAAAGCTCCGGCGTCGGGACATACTGCACCGCATTGAACGCATGACAGAGCAGGAATTGTAGCTACGGTTCCATTCTGCTGCAAGTGGATTTTAAGATGCGTGCGGAACGCTTCAAAATCAGGCAGAACAGCAGAACATTGATTGCAAAGTAGTGGACCCGCTCCCATGTACTGTGGAGTTGGATGTTCAGGTTCGGCGGTTCGTCTGCGTTTCGCTGTTTTTTTGCTCAAGTCAGTTGGCGTGAGTTGTTCAGGAGTCGGGCTATTTGTAGGATGAGCTATAAGGTTATGCCTTTGCAAGCTTTCCAGGGATGGAAAACGCATGGTACACATATCACATCCGTATGGAGTGCTATTATGTGCTGAGCGACTAGCCTGTTGGCTTTCCGCGGAATGTTCAGTTGACGTATGACGCTGCAATTCTTCAGGTAACTGAAAAGATTCTGTGCACTGCAAACATCGAAATGATATACCATTGCTTCCATTGGCGCCATTTGCTTCTGAGGTCGAAGAAATTTGCTTTTTATGATTTTGCATGTGGGATGTTAAAGCAGCTGCTGTGTTATATCCGCGATTGCATACAGTACATTGAAATGGTTTCTGAGTATCATGGGTCTTCATGTGAATCTTCAAATGATCACTGAAAATTAAAAAAAGTGTTAAATAATTTAACAGACTTATAAGTTAAATAATATCAGATATCAATCTACAATACGCGATATATAACATTTTTTCAAATTCATTCTGAATAAGTTTACAAAAATTCAAATGAATTCAAATTCCAGTTTACAAAAATTTTGGATAGCGTTTCTAAATTATAATCATAATGCACCATCTTATCGAATAATATCTTTCTAGAAAATATCAAAATACAGTATTTCACAGTTAATAATTAATTGTAAATATCAGTGTGTAAAATTGTTTATTATTTTTTAATTACCTGCGCGAAAAGGCAGCTTCGCAATGCGCACACCTATAACGTCGGTCTCCTGTGTGTAGCTTTGTGTGTCTATCACGGGACCTCTTATGTTTGAAAAGGCGCGAGCAATACTCGCATCGAAACGGCATTTGATCAGAATGCGTCTGCATAAATAATAAAAATTTCAAATGAACATTAATTTGTAAAGCTTTAAATATAAAAATAATGAAATTTATTAATTTTTAATAGAAAGTTTGATATTGAAATTATTAACTTTCCGAAGGAGAAGTTTGATAATTTTATGTTTTCTCGACGTTTAACTCTTTTTTTACGATATATACTATGGTCTTATAGAACATACTAAAATATTATGGCCCGTATTACGGATAAGTCGCTTAATTTTAAAAATTCATCAAAATTTGAAAAAATATGATTGTCAAATGTTGGGTCAAAAAACGCTTTTGTGATGTGATGAGTCAAAATTTGAATTTCACAAACACCATCGGAATAAACTCGATAAGGAGAAGCTGCAATTGGACAGCGTCTCTAGTTTTGTGAAAAATGTTACCATTTATTTAAATGATTAAATAATATCAAGGGCTACGTACATGATATATGTAATCGTGCTAGTATTTTCTTATAGCAGATTTTTAATATTTCACAAAATAATTTATTAAGATTTTTAAAAAAAAGTTTTGACGTTTTTCATGAAATTTAAAATGGCGATAAGTTCATGCACAGTCCTACGAAAATTGTTTGAATTATGTAAATTAATTAAAATTTGGAATTTTAGGGCATACAAGGACGTGTCTGCGCACTATAATTAATGTAATTACTTATAATTTAAATGTGTTTGAGATATCAATTGAAAATCGCAATGTTTAGATTTAAGTGAAATCGACAACTCGATTTTCAAAATAAACCGTTGAAAATGTTATCTAAATATCTGAATCAATTTTGGTTGATTAAGTCAATTATTACATCTATCGAGACGTTTTTGCAACTTGCCTTAAAGCAAAATGACACTTTCAACTTGTTAATATTTTTACGAGACATTAATGTCTTTTGTAAAATGTAATAGATTAAAATATTGTTTTGTGTATTTTTGATTGTTTGTATTCAAGGTAATAGGCATTACTTATGAATCTATTATATTTTTTGCTCAAATAGACATTTAAAATTTCGATAACAAAGCAATAATGAAATTGTGTTTTATCAAATAGAATTACCTGTTCGTGTTTTTTGAGATAGCTCAGCCTAGGAAATGCTTTAGCGCAAAATTGACACTGATAGGGAGTCTGTTCCGTTGCACCAATCGTGCAGGATGCTTCAGCGGCTGCTGCGCCGTCAGGGGTCGCACAGGACGAAGCCGAGTCCGGCGTGGAGGCCGACGAACGCCAAGAACTACTGCCCTGGTCGCTACTAAGAGCTTCTAAGGAAGAAAATAGTAATTTAATATACGATAAGCAGATTTTTTTTTCTAAAAATCTAAATGTCGTGCCATTTTTTTATCATTACCGTCATTCAAGTAATCTGTGAAATTAAGTATTCTGAAGTGCTCTACGAGATTAGTAACACTAAATTGGGAAAAACTCCTGGTAATGATGCGATTATTTGGTCTAATAAAACACCTTCCTGATAAAGGTAAGAGATTTTTAACTATATTATTTAATGCCATAATACGGCTGAAGTATTTTCCTTCATCGGGGAAATTGGCAAAAATGATCTTAATTCTCAAGCCTGGAAAAAATCCCACTGATGCAGTTTCCTACCGGCCCATTAGTCTTCTGTCTTGCCTCTCAAAAATGTTTGAAAAAGTTATTCACAAAAGAATCATTAATATTTTAGAAGATAATAATTTTATGCCAAAACATCAATTTGGGTTCATTAGACAACACTCAACAATAGAACAAATACATAGAGTTGTGGATTCCATTTATAAAGCCTTTCACTTAAAAAAATATTGTTCAGCCCTTTTTCTTGACATCAGTCAGGCGTTTGATAAAGTTTGGCATAACGGCTTGTTGTACAAATTAAAGAAGAATTTACCATACAACTATTATCTCCTCCTAAAATCATATCTGTGTGATAGAAGGTTCTTCATCAATTTTAATGATGCTTCATCTAATGTTAAAAATATTTCTTCCGGAGTTTCCCAAGGTAGTGTTCTTGGTCCACTGCTTTACATTATATATACTGCTGATATACCTACAAATGCAGAAACCATGATTGCTACCCTTGCAGATGATACGGGAATTCTAGCTCAACATGACAACCAATTGCTTGCCTCGGAAATTCTACAAAAACATGTAGATGAAGTAGAAAAGTGGATGAAACTATGGAGAATAAAAGTGAATAACTCTAAATCAGTTCACGTTACTTTTACCTTACGACAAGGTTCATGCCCCCCTGTTAGATTGAATGGTGATTTGGTTCCTGTATCCAATGTTGTTAAATATCTGGGAATACATTTAGATACAACCTGGCATGAACATATTCTAAAGAAGCGTCAGCAGCTTGAATTAACACGTAGGCAACTTAATTGGTTAATGAGCTGGAAATCACAAGTCACAATAGAAAATAAACTCCTAATATTCAAGATAATTATCAAACCAATATGGTCCTACGGCCTACAACTATGGGGTGCGGCCAGTAAATCGAACATAACTATTCTACAAAGGTTCCAAAATAAAATTTTGAAAGAAATCGTAAACGCTCCAAAATACGTTCCAAATTGGTTGATACATCAAGATCTCAGAATTCGAACTATAGAAGAAGAAATTAGTCTTTACTGCACCAGATACAAAGCTCGTCTAAGTTGTCATCCAAACGTATTAGCGTTAGATCTGCTCAAGCCTTTACCACCAAAGCGTCTCAAGAAAGAATCTGCAATGATTTACTACAAAATATTACATAACATCTATGAAGGCGCTATCGCAGGATAGCGATCCTTCTCACGCAGACAAATAGTATATAACTGTAACAAATGTAGCTGAATGTACTTTGTATAGCTTGCTATGAGAAATAAATCAAAAAAAAAAATTTTTTTTGATCAGCCATAATTTTGGTGATTTACCAGTTAGCTGGAGGAAAAGTAAATTAAATGGTAATTTGAACAGTGCTGGAACATAACTACTTATGTTCAACTCACAGCAAAATAACAAAAAAAGTGATCTATTTGTATACAATTAGCAGTTATTATTAGAAGAATTTGAACATGAAAACTTACTTTTGATTCTTTAATAGTAATGCGGTCTACAGATCATGTTAATGTAAGGCACTAACTGAAAGCAATAATGGGAACTTGTTCGAATAATCATTCTACATCTCAGTTTAGATTTTATGACAACCCAGTCTCCCCTACTATAACTGACTTGTACATTCAATGTTATTTTTTTTAACAAAACGTATACGATTAAATGTATCTTAAAGGAGTCCTTTATGTAACTTTGATTCTAAATTATATTTTATTAGAAGCATTATTGGTAATTATTATGTTTCAAGCAATAATCTATGACTAAGTCACAACTGAAATGATTAATTATAAATATGGTCAGTTGTCAATAAAACAATAATTAGTAATATTGCCCAACGCAATGCAATAATAACATTATTTAGAAGCACTTGTCGACAGAAGATCTTCAGCTCAGCTAACTTGTTCTGATTATACGAGTATATCTTCTATAGTCTTCGAGTGCATTAACAAATGACATATGGGGAGAAGTGCGAATTCTCTCATTCGCACACATAACTAATGTCATTCCTTTTATATGGATATTTATATCTTTCTTATATAATGACACTGTGAAGGATGTGCACTCTTCACCGGAATCCATGAAGATATATTACTGATTACGAGGACGCCCTAAACGTGACAGATCGCCGACTGTTTCATGTGACGTAACAGAATGCGCGCGTTTTTTTTCACAAATTGAAATGCCGAATGTAAATTTACAATGTACAAAGATGTGTATTTGAAATTATTAAAAAAACTAGTGGTGTATGGCATCGTGCGTTAAGGCAAAATTCTGGAACTTGCGTACCAAAGATTATTTTTCAAAAAATTTTTTTTTTAACTTTGAAAAAATTTGATTTTTGAGAGTTTTGAAATTTTTGAAAAAAAAATGATTTTTGAGAATTTTGAAATTATTGAAAAAATGACTTTCTTGAATGTTTTTTATTTTTAAATATTTTGGAATTTTTAACTTTATTCAAAGCAATCTTGCTGCTTTAGCTGCATAGAGACGAAATATCCAAGCGCATAAGCGCTGTGTCGCGGACAAACAATGTTACGAAATCCATAGAAATGTAAACAAATTGTATACTTATTATTAAAAACTCTATAAAATATCTGATAATTTGATGTGTGTATGTCTAATGATCATATTTGACCGCCGAATGACATTTTTTTACTTTTTCTTCTTTCTTTGTTTCTTCATTTTGTCAATAGTCAATAGTAATAAAATATGTTTTTAATTATTGAAATTGGACGCTCCGTTCACTTAACAACTGAGTTACCGTTTTTGGAACTTTTTGTACCGTATCTTTAAAACGGCTGAACCTGCCTTGTCCTTGAGATAAACAGCACGTCTCCTTATCAATAGAAATCGAATGTTTTTTGAATCTTTCAAATCGGTTGAATCGTGTTCCCGAAATCGTCGACGAAAATTTGTATCCGAATACACACACACATACATCCATTTTTTCTAAGGTATGCCAAAATGCTCAGAAACCTCTGAAACGTAAAAATATATAAAAAATTTCATTTTAGATTTTTTTGCGATTACTATAAATTACCCTATGGGAAACTTTATGGTTAACAATATGAAAGTTTGAATCACTGCAGAATATATATAGCAGAATTTTTATGACTTAGACTTACAATTAGCCAATATCTTTATATTATTTTGAAACAGTATTCAAAGAATTTAAATAAGATTTGTGAATATATATTGTTTATCGCTTATATGATTTAGTCAAAATAAATTTGTAATATATTATATTATAAAATGATGATAAAGATTGCATTATAATCTTCATAATCATACACATTTGAACTTCCGAAAAAAGTTTATGTATGCGTCAAAAAACAATGGAAAAAGATTGTTGAAAATAAATAAAAGTGTTTTGTATGCATATAACAAATAAAGACAAAGCAATTTATTATTATTTTAAATTTTCATTATTACAAAGAAGAACGTTATTATGCCTAAAAGAGTTGCCGCAATTAATCATGATGTTATATTATCCGCCTATTCAATATGAAGCTGTTTGACGTACTTCCATAAACGAAAAACTAGTTTTTTGGTCAGGATAATTTAATTAGCCGATTTATGAACTACATACACGAAATTTATGCGGACGTCGTTTTTGGTGGAAACGAGTTTTGAAGTATGCTCCCGATGAACATTTAAGTGTTCTTCAGTATGAACAGCAGTAATATAGTGATTAAACAGGTATTCGACGCTATTAAACATAATTATTAACATTAAGTATTTACCTGTGATAAACAACTGTGAAGATTATATACCACCTGCTTGACTTAATTATATAATGCCCCTATAATGCGAATTCAGTAATTTGGTATGACTGACGTCTATAATATGTGTAAGTGGTAATTAAAACTTCTTATCTTGTATTATTCGACTAAGTTCTGATTGTAATGGAAACATCTAGTAGACTCTGAGCTGATGTTGAGTGTTTTAAGAGTATTCGTGATTGAAAAGGTAAGATGCGACATGAAACACGCATCATGCATGAAAGTGTGCTTGTATTAAGAATTTTTCTGGAATTTCTGACAAAATCATTTAAGTAGAATTAAATATTCCTAAAAAAGAACATTTCTGAATAATTTTAACGAGGCTTCTTCCACACAGTAAAAAGTTAATTATCATAGGTGTTAATTATGACCTCCGAGAAGAAGCGACCGGATAAGACCGATTAGCGCGCCCATCGACGACCCCGGGTCACATTTAAGGCAGACGCGCGACGCCCGCTAAAAACTTCCTAATCAAAATTGTCTCAGCAAGATCTCATCAAGATCTACAAGAAGAAATTAAAGTTAAAAGAATGACTAAAATGATATAATATTTTATGACGTATAAAGCAGCACTTACATATTGAGATCTGTGCTGAAGTATTAATTTATACCGGTTAAAAAATATATTTAAAACGTATATGGAATAAGCAGTAAGTAAGTAGTATTTATTTATTCAAAGCAATGGGTGACAAAAAATTGACGATATGGCAATAGAATTGCATTCATTTTCAATATTAGAAATGTAACTGAAGAAATTTAGTAAAAATGCATTTATGCTTAATGAAGATTACAATGTTTATTTTTTGAATCATGATTTTCTTTATTATTAATAATCATATTAAATTGTGAATTTTTGATTTTAAAATATTAAAAATAAAATTATAAGATACCTT